GCCTGTCAGACTGTCGCTAAGAATTAGAGATGCACTTTCTGCTACTTTATAGAAATCATCAATAAATCTCATCTGTGATCTAGGGGAAAGACTTCTGGAAGACTTCAGTATTTCCACTCAGACATTTCCTACTAGACACACGCTCATCATCATTTTGGCTCACATCATCACTAGGTGTCTGGGAGGGAGTGGACACTCCTGCAGGAGGCCTTAGTCACTGTAGAGTGGCCATGAGGCTGTGCAATGAGGAGAGGAGATGTACATCACCTCTGAGCCTCAGCTCCCACCTGTAATCCGTTACAGTAACGCTACGTTTTGAGAAAAGCAAAACAGACATGTCATTTAGACTTATGATCTTCTTTGTTTCCTGATTACCAAAACAAATGTTTTATTTTATCTAAAATAAAAATGACATCACCTGAATGGCTGGGGTTAGAGTTATGCATCAAGTTCTGTTGTTTATCTATGAACGTAGACACAGTGCCTCATTCTTCAATTCAGCAAAGGGCATTTTATGGTCATGGTTCTCTGTCCTGGTTGTCTTGTAACACTGAATGAACTCTGTGTGTATTTAGCTGTAACCCCTCATATCTCAGTAGACTCTATGTATTACTCATATTCATCTTCCAGCCTTTTTCCTCTCTGTCACCTCCTTTTTCTTCATCCCATCCCTATCTCTCCTCTTTCACTTCCTCCTCCTCTCTGTTTGCCTGCTTTGCATTTCATTACTTCTCTATCCACTTACCTCTGTCTTCCCTCGCCCATGTCACTGTCAGTTTGTGCTTATTTATTGTTACTGCTCTCGTTCTTCCTTCTATGAGGTCACATTGGAGTTTACTGCGATTGTGCCTTTTTAATTTACCTTTTAATTGTCTTTTTGTGTGTGTTTAGAACGTTGAGTTCTTGGTTTCAGATGGATGTTCACATTTTAGCAGCTGATGTTAAATTAGAGCTAATAACTAGCTGGGACCACATCCTCTGTAACGATGGGCGATGAGGCATGAGGAAGTGTGAGCTGGTGCTGCGGTTTGGGGAAGGCCTCAAAGGGGACTGCGACGGCTCCTAACGAGAAGTGAATGAAGGAAAGGAAGAGAAAAGAGAGGGAAAATGGGGGGGAAGGGTGGGGCATGAAAATGAGAACAGCAGGTATAGGTGAAAGGGGGCTTTTATAGCCTGAGGCTGGAGGGGGGTGAAGGAGGAGACGCCCCGCTCCTGAAATTCAGATGATATCTCCACTAAAAGTAGAATATAGCGCCGCTGCCAGAAGCTCACTTTAAGTCAAAGTGTTGGGTTTTAAAGCATTGAATTTAATAGTAGAGCAGCGGTCCCCAACCCCAGGGCCACGGACCGGTACCAGCTCGGGTGTGAAATTTATTTCTTTCAGGGTTTTTATCGTTAACTCGGTTTCCCTGGGTCTTTTCCTGTGTTGTAGTTGTGCGTCTTTTTTTTTTTTTTTTCAAGAAATATTTGGGCATTACCATGGTGACCAGAGAGCATTAGAGTTCATACTACGATAATTATTTTCGAACTTTATGATTTTCTTCCAGTTTTTGTAGTTTCTAGATAATCAGAAGTTTGACAAACGTGCTGCGTAACAAATGCTAAGCTACAAAAAAAAAAAATCCCAGTTCAGAGGAAAAGGTTTAACGATGTCTGTGTAATCTTTTACATAACTCAGTATTACAATTTCATTTGTGAAATCATTTGAACAATATCAAATGTTCCAGCTAAAGACACAAATCCCCTTTGGGGATGCGTCAGGATGCTAAGACTGACATGTGGAGCTACCCGCTGTGGCGACACCTTGTGGCATGAAAGTAGCTACATAATAAAGCAAGAAGAAGACATAAATGCAGTTTCTCTAATGGCCACTGATGGCTGGCTCCAAAAGTAAGTCAGTCGCCACAGATTCCCAAGTAAACTTGCCTAAATATACAGCATTAAAAGCACCACCATTTTTTATTTACAGTCTGTGGATATAACGAGCGTAATCCCTGTAGTCCTCCTAAATATAGGATGTTTTTTTATCTCCTTTTGTTTCACATCTGATTAAACAACATTTTAATTTCTTCTCCATCACTGGCTGGGAGTTGGCCACTCACGCTGATGTGACGCTGGAAATACCAAATCAATCAAGTTACATCCACTGTAAACGATAAAAATGGACTTCCACGTCTCTTCCCCTCCGTCGCTTTCTCTTTCCCTCGCTGCCCTTCCTCCACCCTCCATATACGTCTCCCCGCTCATTTCTCCCTCTCGCTTCCTCTTTCTGCTGAAGCAAAGCCTATTTTCCGCATTATAGTCAACATGGCTCACAGCGAAACGTGCGATTACACAACCAGGTGGAAGTGAACGCTCTTTCTTCCTCTCCGCTTGGTAGACGCAGACGGATCGTGGTGATGAAGATGAAACGGGCCAGAAAGATACCAAACGTGATGAAATTTTCTTAGAAGCATCAAAGCTGCTGCACGACACGCACAAATAACGATTAAACAGAGAAATACTTTATAAGCTATAGAAGTAGTTCTCCTTTTAAAGTGAGGATAAACACTCCACGTAATGACTTTAGTGAAACATTTAATCTCTCCATTTAAAGTAATTGGAAGTATAATTTGCTCAAGCTTTGTCCTCTCTGATAAAATCTTCCTTTCTTGGCTTTGTTATATTTAACCAGTTTTTTATTTTATGGTCTTAAAATAATAATCAGCTGTGACTTATATCTCTATGTGGCATTGCTGTAGCTTTAACTGCTCTCCCGGGCTTATGCTTTCCACGTATGCGCTTGGAAGTGTGGGGACTTCCCAGAACTGAGCCATACCGCCAAATATAACGCACTGCAGATGGACCAAACAATATCCTTTTGATTATCGTTGTCCTGAATGAGCTAAGTTTGATTCAGCCAGACAGTTCTGTTTGAAATGTTTATTTACATCGAGCAGTTTAGTGTATAGGCTTTGACCTCATCCTCCACTGAATCTAAACACACAGATGTGTTTGGTAGTGATGAGTAAATATCAACCCACCATTCAGAATCAGCAGCAGTACCGTGGTGCAAAGCAAAGGCAGACATATTGTCTTTGTATGTGGGATTGTTAGAATCTAGTTGAGTTTGGACCTTGACTGGGCCATTGCAACACCTCAGTTGTTTTCTTTTTCAGGCGTTATGTTGTAGATTTGCTGCTGTGCTTGGGATCACTGCTGCATGACCCTGTTTCAGACAAGCTTTAGCTGTCAGACAGATGGCCATACATTTGACTACTTTCATATGCAGAGGTGTTCATGGTTGACTCAATAGCTGCAAGCTGCCCAGGCCCCGTGACTGCAAAATAACCCCAAATCATCACCCTCCACCCCCGTGGTTGGCAGTCGATATGTGGTGCTTTTGATGATATGCTGAGTTTGCTTTTCTCCAGATGCTTCAGCGTGCTTTACAGGCAAACATCTCTACATTGTTCTTGTCTTTCCAAAGGATTGTTCCAGACATATTGTGGTTTTTGTTGATGCAACTTTGCCGTGTTCTTTTAGAAAGAAGAGGCCTTTTCTGATTGTACCGTCAAGACCTTTAAGATTTAACGTTTCATTAAATGTTAACTGAAGTCCGTACTCTCTGAGCTCCAACTCTTGGCTCTTTGTGGTTTCTATGTACATTACATGGTCTGATCTTGGGGTGAATTTGCTGAGAATGACACCTGGACTTTGTGTTAACACACAGCTGAACGCTCCAGCATTCAGCCACATCTGAGTCACGCAGAGTGAATCCAGTCCTCGGGATTTGAAATCCCAAGCATAAAAGTTTTCTCACGAGTAATCTAGCATTTACCAGACCAATCCTGGCAGGAACCGGGGGTCGTTAGCTGTCTGAGGAGCCCGACACAGAGGCCTTGCGAATGCCATGGCTTTCAATCATCATGACACAAGATCCAACTAACCTAGTCTCCTCCTAAAAGTCCTCAGTTGCTAAGAAGTAGCTCTGGTCTGGGTTTTTGTGCTTCACACAAAGAAACGTAGATATGAAGCCGGTTAAACATGCGAAACCAGCTGGTAAATGTAACACGCAGAAAGACAGAAGCTATGCACTGAGTGGAAACTGAAGGAAATAACAAGCCAGTAAATATGAACGCACACACTTTGTGAGGTTAAAAAAATTGCAGATGTTTAAAGTGGGGAAAAATTGATTCAATAGATTTGCCACATACAAAGAATGGTTTAATTATTGTTGGTTTACATCGAAACTCCACATGCAAAGCAATCACAGCTTTCAGTCTGTCCTGTTAAACTCCCGTCACATTTACAGCCTCCCTGCACTGACACCTTAATGTCTGCAGTTTTAGACACAAATTATTCGTTTTTATGGTTTTCAAAGATTCTTTTCTTTATGAAGACAATAAAATCATTATTTAAATATATCAATAATCTGTCTTTTGCAACACAAGCAGTACTAAGAAGTGCTCCAATAGCTATTTTTGAAAATCTCCACACCTTTTTTCCGCTCCAATTTACACATCCCCTCAAAACTCTCTGCACTGCATTTTAGTTGCTCCCCTGGGCGCTCCTGATTGAAAATGTTTCCCCAGTAGTTGTGGTGTTCATAGCATCACTGTCAGTTGTCAAGCCTGGGAGGTAGCTAGCACCCTCACACTCCGTTCCCCCGAGTACTGCCAATCTGGGCTTCAGCCTTCAGTTTTGCTCAGACTCGTCATCCTTTTCTCTGAGAGAAATCACAAGGGGATCAAATCTAATTATTTTTCCTTTTTTGGGTGTGTTTATTATAACTGTTACTTCAAGTTAGGTAGTATAATGATTACTTATGTCAGTGTTTTTCAGTGTAGGGGCAGCAGAAATGACCTCGTGTCCGATTACAACCTGTCACGGGGAGAGTTTTAATAGACTGGTCCTTTGCCATGAACAAGCTCTTACTATGATGGAGAACAACCAAAGAAGGTAATCATCTGGACTGCACACACTGAGCCTCGTCTTCTCTCTCTTCTTTTAACAAACAGGAAGATCATCGAGGTGAAAATCATTGATGATGAAGAGTATGAGAAGAACAAGACCTTTACCATCGAGCTGGGAGAGCCTGTTCTGTTGGAGATAGGACAGAAACACGGTGAGTGTGTGTGTGTGTGTGTGTGTGTGTGTGTGTGTGT